GGAATTACGTTTCCGCGCAACACATTCGGACTGGATTGGTTCGCGCCTGATCTATGCGCCTACGCGAAAAGTTAGCGACGCTCGCTTAGTCGAGTATCTCGGCAATGCGCTGTTGTTGAAGGTTGGTAAATTGTGTGATTTTAATTGAACACCGTCACGCTTTCGTTCAAGCAACTAACTTCTCTCTTACCCCCACTTGCAGTCCCACTTCCCCGACTACCTTGCCGGCTTCGACTTGGTTGGCTATGAGGCCGAGGGTCGCCCATTGCGTGATTATGCTCGCGAGCTTCTCGCTGTACAAGATGAAATCAACTTCTATTTTCATGCTGGCGAAACCAATTGGTATGGCTCAAGCATCGATGAAAATCTACTCGACGCTGTGCTACTCGGCACTAAGCGCATTGGTCATGGCCTGGCGCTGCTTAAGCATCCCGAGGTGTTGCGTTTGGCGCGTTTGCGAAATATTGCCATCGAAGTGAGTCCGATATCAAATCAAGTGTTGCAATATGTTGGCGATTTGCGAACTCATCCCGCTGCGGTGCTGTTTGCGCAAAATTATCCAGTTGTGATCGCTTCGGATGATCCATCATTTTGGAAGGCTACGCCGCTAACACATGACTTCTATGTGGCATTTATGGTGATTGGCTCGCAGAAGGCAGATCTTGGCATGCTAAAGCAGTTGGCTTCGAACTCGATTACATATGGGGCATTTGAACAGGCTCAGCGGGAGAAAGCCTTTGAAAAATGGAATAAAAGATGGGAGAAATGGATTGACGATGTCCTGAGGTAGACGACAGGATGCGAATAAAAATGTTTGTGTATTTTCTAGTTTGAAAATTTACAATTTTCTCTGATGATTAAGAATAAAATTGTAGGGAGTTGTTTTGGTAAAACATTGCATTCTTTATTTGGTAGGGATGATAGAGATATTGAGCTGGAAGTTAAATTTTTTGCAACTTAAAAAGTCGAGAGTCTAGTCAACACAATGGAAACTAGCGAAAATTGCCCAAAGTGCTGAAAATAGTTATACAAGTAGTCGCTAAAACATTCTCCGTCGCGTCAAAATGTTCTTTTACTTACTTACAATACCATGAATTTTACTATTTTTGAGTCTGATAGTTGTTATTATTCTTGAAATAAGTGTTCTCATGGTAACTAATTATATTCTAGAAGACTACCCAATGAAATCAATATGAAATGAGGGGATCTTCGGGGTCACCTGGAGGCCCACAAGCCATTCCTAGACGATATATAGCTATCCTCTGACAAGCCCTACAAGGAAGAGACTGAGTCAGGCGTAGTTGGACCAAGATTCTAGAAAAGTCTGCCAATCAAATGGGCTCACACTAAACCATGTTCCAGGTCGAAAAAAATCATAACTAACTCCAGGAGGAACTCTGAAAGCCGCCTTGAACTTAGCGGGGATGGTTTTAGAACTGCCTAAGAGGACACTGCATGTTATGGTACCATTTTAATAAAATGGGAGTTTCTGTAGAGACGGACTACATATTTTGTGGGCAGCTGGATGAAACTTCAGAACATATTCTATGTGACTTCCCACGTTTAATGAATCGCAGACTGACAAGCCTTAAATTTGGAACATGGTATACTCCAATGTGCTGAATTTCTTAAATATTTAGCTATTTACAGAGCTAACAGCTATTAAAGAATGAGTTAAATGGCTGCTCAACTGCATGAAATCGATAGAAGAGTTAAATACATGTGCATTAAGGTGTATCACTCTCTATACAAAAAGAAAACAAAAATTGGTACTGTTTATAATACTTTAAATATATTTCGGAAAAATATTCAGCCTTATCATGCGTTTCATTTTCCCCGGCCCGTTTCACTTTTCACCTTTGGATGACAAATTTTCGGGAGAATTTTTTCCAGGCGAAACTCAGGATAAGGCTGATTAAGAACTATGTGAGCTGAACCTCAGCAGTTTCTAAACGGAATTCAAATAATGAGATTTTTGGAAGTATTTTCAAATCGGTCCAGCTCACATAAGTCTACATATTTCTTGGAAATATTTTGGCGGAAGTCTTATAAAATGAATTTAATAATTCCGGTGAGAAAATCGCAAGTATTTTTTTTTGTGATACACCTTCATGTAAATTAGACCAAGTAAAACAAATCCTGCAATACGGCCAGAACCTGACTAAAATTTTTGTATTTGGCATAGTTATGATACTCCTTAAATCCCCTTTCTCTACGATAATTATAAGAGCTGCCGCATCATTAAATCGCAACTGTCAATCGTAAATAATATTTAAGTTGTTTACAAAATTATCGGTTTAATCCTCCTACTAAACATATGCCTTCTGTTTAGCACATGTTAAATAAAGATTAACAATTTCGAACACTACTTTAATCATAAGGAAGCACTTTATGAATAAAATTGAAACAAATAGAACTAAACTTTATCTTATCGCCTATTGAAATTCTTTGC